GCCCCGCCCCGGGGGGGCATTGATTTTTCCCTATAATGCCATATAAGATAAAAAACTTAAAAAATCTTCTTTTAAAGAACTCAAAGAGCTATGGCTAAGATATTGAGCATCAAACATGTTCTAATAGGTGTCTACCAAGTTTGTTCAAAATAAAAGCCCTGGGGTCAAAATTGGCACCCGCCCCAGGGGGTCATTGATTTTCCCTATAATAGTGCATATAGTAAAAACTTAAAAAATCTTCTTTTAAAAGAACCAAAAAGTGTTAGAGCTAAGATAATTTAGCATGAAACATGTTCTAATAAGTGTCTACCAAGTTTGTTCAAATAAAAGCCCTGGGGTCAAAATTGGCCCGCCCAAGGGGGGCATTGATTTTCTTATAAATATATTTTTAAATTAGCATATAGTAAAAACTTAAAAAAAAATTCTTTTAAAGAACCCAAAGAGCTAGAGCTAAGATATTTAGCATGAAACATCTTCTAATGGGTGTCTACAAATTTGTTCAAATAAAAGCCCTGGGGTCAAAATTGGCCCTGCCCCAGGGGGTCTTTGATTTTCCCTATATGCATATAGTAAAAAACTTAAAAAAAAATCTTCTTTTTAAAGAACCCAAAGAGCTAGAGCTAAGATATTTAGCATGAAACATCTTCTAATGAGTGTCTACCAAGTTTGTTTCAAATAAAAGCCCTGGGGTCAAAATTGGCCCAGCCCCAGGGGTCATTGATTTTCCCTATATGCATATAGTAAAAACTTAAAAAAATCTTCTTTTAAAGAACCCAAAGAGCTAGAGCTAAGATATTTAGCATGAAACATCTTCTAATGAGTGTCTTCCAAGTTTGTTGAAATAAAAGCCCTTGGGTCAAAAATTGGCCAGCCCAGGGGTCATTGATTTTCTCTATATACATGTAGTAAAACTTAAAATCTTCTTTTAAAGAACCTAAAGAGCTAGAGCTAAGATATTTAGCATGACACACATCTTCTAATGGGTGTCTACCAAATTTGTTCAAATAAAAGCCCTGGGGTCAAAATTGGCCCCGCCCCAGGGGTCATTGATTTTTCCTATATAGGTACATAGAGTAAAAACTTAAAAATCTTCTATTAAAGAACCCAAAGAGCTAGAAGCTAAGATATTTAGCATGAAACATGTTCTAATGGATGTTTACCAAAGTTTTTCAAATAAAAGCCCTTGGGTCAAAATTGGCCCCGCCCTAGGGGGTCATTGATTTTCCCTATATTGCATATAGTAATTAAAAACTTAAAAATCTTCTTTTAAAGAACCCAAAGAGCTAGAGCTAAGATATTTAGCATGAAACATGTTCTATGGGTTGTCTACCAAGTTTGTTCAAATAAAAGCCCTTGGGTTAAAATTGGCCCTGCCAGGGGGAGGGGGGAGGGGGGGCAAAAGTCATTGTTTGACGCTTTGACGTCATAGTAACGCCGTTTATTTATAAAATAATGCTGCAGAAGTAAAGCTTACATATCTACATGTCTGTATACCAAAAATCATCAAGATCTGAGACATTGTCAAATTTCGGTCGGAAAGTAGCGAGCTACCTTAAGCTTATTTGTTCCAAACACATTTTTGTTACTATTGAAATTTGAAGAAATAATACAACAAATTCGTTCAAAAAAATGAAGATAAAACTTGCTTCTAGATTCTAATGCTTTGAACAAACAAACAGTAACCATCTCTGTACAGAACAGTAGAAGTGTAGACAAGAATTTCAACGAAAGAACTTCAAAGTATTTGTTGTTGTTTTTAGCTCACCTGTCAAAGTGACAGGGTGAGCTTTTGTGATCGCTTTTCGTCCGGCGTCCGTCCGTCCGGCGTCCGTAAACTTTTTCTTTAAATGACATCTCCTCATAAACCACTAAGCCAATTTCATCCAAACTTCACAGGAATGTTCCTTTGGTGGTCACCTTTAAAAAATTTTCAAAGAATTTAATTCCATGCAGAACTCTGGTTGCCATGGCAACCGAAAGAAAAAAACTTTAAATATCTTCTTTTAAAAAACCATAAGAGCTAGAGCTTAGATATTTGGCATGAAACATCTTCTAGTGAGTGTCTACCAAGTTTGTTCAAATAAAAGCCCTGTGGTCAAAATTGGCCCCGCCCCGGGGGTCATTGATTTTCCCAATATGCATATAGTAAAAAGTTAAAAAATCTTCTTTTAAAGAACCCAAAGAGCTTGAGCTAAGATATTTAGCATGAAACATGTTCTAATGGGTGTCTATCAAGTTTGTTCAAATAAAAGCCCTGGGGTCAAAATTGGCCCCGCCCCGGGGGGTCATTGATTTTCCCTATATGCATATAGTAAAAACTTAAAAAATCTTCTTTTAAAGAACTCAAAGAGCTATGGCTAAGATATTGAGCATCAAACATGTTCTAATAGGTGTCTACCAAGTTTGTTCAAATAAAAGCCCTGGGGTCAAAATTGGCACCGCCCCAGGGGGTCATTGATTTTCCCTATATGCATATAGTAAAAACTTAAAAAATCTTCTTTTAAAGAACCAAAAGTGTTAGAGCTAAGATATTTAGCATGAAACATGTTCTAATAAGTGTCTACCAAGTTTGTTCAAATAAAAGCCCTGGGGTCAAAATTGGCCCCGCCCCAGGGGGGCATTGATTTTCCCTATATGCATATAGTAAAAACTTAAAAAAAAATTCTTTTAAAGAACCCAAAGAGCTAGAGCTAAGATATTTAGCATGAAACATCTTCTAATGGGTGTCTACCAAATTTGTTCAAATAAAAGCCCTGGGGTCAAAATTGGCCCTGCCCCAGGGGGTCTTTGATTTTCCCTATATGCATATAGTAAAAACTTAAAAAAATCTTCTTTTTAAGAACCCAAAGAGCTAGAGCTAAGATATTTAGCATGAAACATCTTCTAATGAGTGTCTACCAAGTTTGTTCAAATAAAAGCCCTGGGGTCAAAATTGGCCCAGCCCCAGGGGTCATTGATTTTCCCTATATGCATATAGTAAAAACTTAAAAAAATCTTCTTTTAAAGAACCCAAAGAGCTAGAGCTAAGATATTTAGCATGAAACATCTTCTAATGAGTGTCTTCCAAGTTTGTTGAAATAAAAGCCCTTGGGTCAAAATTGGCCCAGCCCCAGGGGTCATTGATTTTCTCTATATACATGTAGTAAAAACTTAAAAATCTTCTTTTAAAGAACCTAAAGAGCTAGAGCTAAGATATTTAGCATGACACATCTTCTAATGGGTGTCTACCAAATTTGTTCAAATAAAAGCCCTGGGGTCAAAATTGGCCCCGCCCCAGGGGTCATTGATTTTTCCTATATAGGTACATAGAGTAAAAACTTAAAAATCTTCTATTAAAGAACCCAAAGAGCTAGAGCTAAGATATTTAGCATGAAACATGTTCTAATGGATGTTTACCAAGTTTGTTCAAATAAAAGCCCTTGGGTCAAAATTGGCCCCGCCCTAGGGGGTCATTGATTTTCCCTATATTGCATATAGTAATTAAAAACTTAAAAATCTTCTTTTAAAGAACCCAAAGAGCTAGAGCTAAGATATTTAGCATGAAACATGTTCTAATGGGTGTCTACCAAGTTTGTTCAAATAAAAGCCCTTGGGTTAAAATTGGCCCTGCCAGGGGGAGGGGGGAGGGGGGGCAAAAGTCATTGTTTTTTCATTATTTGTGTATAGTAAAAAACTTAACATCATGAAACATCTTCTAATGGGTGTCTTCCAAGTTTGTTCAAATAAAAGCCCTTTTGGTTTAAACTGGCCCCGCCCTGGGGGCTATGTACAGGTGAGCGACCCCAGGGCCCCATCATGGCCCTCTTGTTTTTAATGCTACTATTAGATCAAGTGTATTAAAGACATTAATACACGTTCAGAGTAGGGCCGGAAGGTGATAATCGGCCCTGAAATGAATAATGCCCTCGGGCTGAAGCCCTCGGGGCCATTATTCATTTTGCGGGCCGATTATCACCTTCCGGCCCTACTCTGCCATGTATTAATCTCTTATTCCTTTGAGATACATAATAATGTCTAAGCTCCTTAGTTTTTTAAGTTCTGTATATAAATTATTATTCCTGTTGAATTTTTGTAATGATCTTGTCTTGTTTGAATTAGAAATAGTCCATTTAAAGTATAAGGGATTTTAACATTAAAATACAATAATTAATGTACTTACAGTATAGAGCATGGTTAACCTGACTGTTCAGGCACGCCTGTTTCTATACTGGTCAGAAAAATTAAAACATTTTAGGTTTCATTACAAAAATACCTGTACGCAATGATTCAAGAATGCAGTTTTATCAAGTCTTTAATAAATTTTCTTTGTTATTTTAGCTGCAAGCTGTGCAGAGACTGTTCCGAATTTTCTCCAAACAACACCTGTTGTTGAGAGCGGACCTTATAACTATGGTCAGCGCCTTACTCTACAGTGTTCTGTTGGGGATAACACTTTTGACAAGTACAGGTTCTGTACCTACAATCCTAATACTGATGATTATGAAATGCAAGGATCACAATATGAATGTGGAGGTATGTATTTGTTGTGAAATGCAAGGTTTATGTTTTCATGCAAATGCAAGGTTTTTTTTTTTTTTCATGCAAATGCAAGTTTTTTTTAAAGAAATAATCAAATTTATAAAGCTTCACCTGTCAAAGCAGGAAGGGTTATATCAAAGTCAACTTCTTGGGAAAAAAATACGACCAGTTTGTGGAAAATGAAAAAGATTCTTATCGATATTTAGCCTCCCTTTGAGCTGCTAGTGTTCAAAAAGTTAAATACGCTGGCTATTTAAAGCAGGTTTTCTGGTCTGAAAATGACTGTAGGCACATGTTTGACTATATATCACTAACATTTTTTTTTGCTATTTTCATTTTTGTAGCGATTGATTGTGGTACACCAAAACAGGCACCAGGCAGTTCTTATGCTTTGCCGAGTGTTACAACATTGGGAAGCTTCATTGATTTCATTTGTAAAACTGACACACGTGAAGGGCAAACTCAGGCAGGGTCTGACAGTCGAGTCTATTGTTTGAAAGAAGGATATTGGGACTTTGGAAGCTTGCAGTGTACTGGTAAGATTTAAAACTAGTGAATTTCTTAAATGATGAGGACTTGCCCAGCTCCAATTTATGGATCTGTTCATTAGCAATGTTAGGGATATGAAAATAAAAGCTTGAAGTTAACTTAAATTTACCCCATAGACAGAACAAATAATGCTGAGCAGGCTTTCTACAAGTGGTCACTAAAAGTTTCAGAAGTTTAAGAATTGAGGGTCAGTTCTTGAGTAAGTCTTACCAGAATTGTCTTAAATGAGATGAGTTTTATTTTTAGATTTTAATCCATCAGAAATGCTCACCCATTAATCCCAAAAATGCAGAGATGGGAATAATCATTTATTTGCATCTATTTATTGATTAATGATAATGATGGCAATGGCATATGTTTGATTTGTCAGATACACAATGGTAAATTGATGGGTATCGGGACCCAAAAAGTATGGTCGGTTATCAGATTTCATGGGTGCCTGATGTCTATCACACACACCCTACCCTACCCCTATATTTATGGAATTGGCTAGCTGTACCAGTCCTTACCGCTAACCAAAAATTCTAGTCATACATGAATCATGTACGACTAGACTATACACACTGCAGAGGATCGTCATAAGGCATTTTTCAATGATAAGTAAAAGGCAATAATGAAAATTGGTTTTCCAAGAGATGAACAGAGTTACACACAAAGCTAAGTTACACTCAGATTTTATGTTTTAAGAACAGTGACCCTGAGTTACACTGAAAATTGGTTTCTTACAAAAGGGCATACATGCCATATCCCCTGTCGGGGGGGGGGGGGGGGGGGGGGGGGAGGGGGGACAAATTCTCTTGAGAAAAGACAGAGATACAGGGAAAAAAAAACAAAGCAAATTTACTCTTAGCTTCGGTATTTCTAAGGACTGAACTTTGAGTTAACTCTCAAAACTAATATTGCATTATAAAGGATTTAAAAATATTCATTTTAGTTACTTCAACTGTATGCTGTTCATGATTAATGTGCAAAATTTTCAACCATTAAAGCCTGACAGCATCTACATGGTAGAAAATGAGTTTATATGATCCCAGACTGACACAAAATGTGGTTGTTTTTACAATGTTTTTGTATACAGTATGAAAATTTGCTGTATTCATTAACATTGTTTGGTATATCTTTCTTCAGGAGAGAAGTGTTTGGACCCCACATACCCACCAGATGGTGATATAATAGCTGATAGTTTTGCAGACAGAAGCACCGTTAGCTTTAAATGTCTTAGGCAAGGATACAGCCTCTCTAATGATGTGACCTTGACCTGTAATAGAGACAACTTCTTTTCTAATAATGAACAAGTGCCCACATGTAGAGGTTTGTATAAATTTCATTATGCTTCAATAACTGTTAAATGAAACACTTTTGTTACTTGTGAAACATTTGACCAATGTGCTGGACAGTAAAAATATGTAATTTTGTAAAGCTTGATATTCAGATGGTTACAATCAGTCTTTAAGAAAGGAGAGCTGTCGCTGTGTGTCTCTAAAACACAGGAATCATATTAGTTTTGAGCCTTATATCAGTCATGATCATGCTTCATTATTATGACACCATGCCGCACTGGTTAGTTCCAGGAAATAGAGACTTTGCAGGTGGTTGTGATAAATACAAGTTGCTAGAGCTTGTTACACAATAGGTTATTAATAAATAGAGGATATTGAATGAGTGTAAGTTCAATACTGCATTTATTGAACAATTTGAATAAAATTACATTATGCGAGCCTTTGGCGAGCTTTATATTATTATGTTCAATGAGTTCAATAAATTCAGTAATGAACCTACACGAATGTAATATTATATCTATCACATACCAAAATTAAAGACTGTTTGAAGTAAAAAAGAACCGTTTTTCAGTGTTACGCTTACATTTAGCGCGTCTTTACGCTGTACATGTATAATGCAAATGACATCACGTCAAAATATATGCTCGGCCTTGCAATACCATTTTTACAGGGTAGCAAAAGCAGCACGGGTATGTGATAAATATGTTCAACCCAATCTGTGGGTCTTTTTTGCCAGGTGGATACGATTGCTGACTTTAAATCGTTTTTCTCTTTACTTAAATATGGGCGTGGTCGAGGGGTTAGAGTCGATGACTTCTAACTGGATTACCTATCTGGCGTGGGTTCGATCCCCGGGAGATGCTTTGGTAGTTTAGCATGGAGTAAGGTAGTCTAGTACTCACCTGTGTAACTCTCCAGGAACGATGGTTAGAAAACTACCCGCCTATATGACTAAAATACTGTTGAGAAAAGGCGTAAAATGAAACAAACAAACGAAACTTGAATATGGGAGTTAAAATCCTGATGTGGATTTTGAAATCTCTGATATGAAATCAGTAACTAAATTTTAGCTGCGTGTTTTTACAGTTTAAGTGGGTATCCATAGCTGAGTGGTTAAGGTTGTTGACTTCAAACCACTTGCCCCTTAACACTGTTGGGTTGAAATCCTGCTAGGGAGTTTGGATTCTTTCATGTGTGGGAGCTATCCAGCTAGCTTATGGATAACGTCGGTGGTTCTACTCAGGTGCCTGTTTGTAACTGAAATGATTCAGGGAGGGGCGCCTGAAGTTTTCCTCCACCAGTAAACCTGGAAAGTTGCCATATGAACTTTACAGTGTAAAACCCAACCAAAAAAAAAATTGGAAAGAAAAAAAAATTGCTACTAAACTAAATTCTATAAAGAGTGGATGACAACAAGAAATAACTAAATGTACATTACATATGATATAAATATTCTTATATCTTGTTTTCACAGCTGATATTGTTGTTTTATATTTTAACAGACACAGAAAAACCGGTTATCAACAATTGTCCAACAACCCCAATATCAATAAGAAAATACGAGGCTCTGCCACCAAGGCTACCTCAGTTGACAGTCACTGACAACACAGCCGTCCAAAGCTTTACCATAACTCCTAGCAACGCTAATACAACTTATTTTGTAAGCAATAACTTACAAGTTGTATATACTGCAACAGATTTTGATGGTAATGTTGAAACATGCACAGTAAATGTTGAAGTAACAGGTAAGTTGGCTTTTTCCTTTGATTTATTTTCTTTTCATTAAGTCAGACAGGTCCTGTATAGTTATCATCCACATTTAATTTATTATACGCAGCATTATTGTTTAAGAATAAATTTTATGGTGGATTTTCGTTCAATCTTTTATTCTCTTGTAGATTATATAAGACATGGCCCATAACTCTTGCACTTACAATTATTTCCCTTCATTCTAAAATGTGTGTTTTTACTACACACATGTATTCTATAATAGGAATACTATTTATTAAGTAAAAAATTGTTTTACATTTTGGATAGAAATTTTTGGCTTTATTATGTTATCATTTTTGCTTATACATGCCCCATACATGTACATGTATATAATGCCCTAGAAGAACAACATACAGAGATAAATTTATGTTTTTCTAAGCTCACCTGTCACAAAGTGAAATGGTGAGATTTTGTTTTTTGTGCGGAGTCTTTCCAGCGTCAGTCTGTAAACTTTTACTTAAAACAACATCTCCTCAAAAACCACTAAGCCAATTTCATCCAAACTTCTCAGGAATGTTTCTTTGATAGTCAGTCACCTTCGTAAATTGTTTAAAGAATTTTATTCCATGCAAAACTCTAGTTGCCATGGCAACCTAAAGAAAAAACTTAAAATGTCTTCTCTTAAAAAAAAACCCCAAAGAGCTTGAGCTTAGATATTTGGCATGAAACATCTTCTAGAGGATGTCTACCAAGTTTGTTCAAATAACAGTCCTAGGGTCAAAATTGGCTCTGCCCCAGGGAGTCATTGATTTTCCTTATATGCTTATAGTAAAAACTTAATAAAATCTTCTTTTAAAAAGTCAAATAACTAGAGCTTAGATATTAAGCATGAAACATCTTCTAGTAAGTGTCTACCAAGTTTGTCCAAATAAAAGCTCTTGGGTTAAATTGGCCCTGCCCCGAGGGAACATTGATTTTCCTTATATGTATATAGTAAAAGCTAAAAAATCTTCTTTTAAAAAACCCAAAGAGCTAGAGCTTAGATATTAAGCAACATCTTCTAATGAGTGTCTACCAATTTATTAAAAAAAAAAGCCCTGGGGTCAAAATTGGCCCCTCTTGGGGGGGTCATTGATTTTCCTTGTATGCATATAGTAAAAACAAAAACAAAAAAACAAATCTTCTAAAAAAAACTAATATTCTGCCATCATGGCCCTTTTGTTCAATTTTCATGCCTCTCATATTGATAAGAAATTCAGTAGGGTCGGTTTGTAATTCTCTTCTAATTGAAGCTTCAGTCTATGAAATGTTTTTTTGGGTCCTTGACCTCAAAATGATCTAACTGTTTAAGGTCAAATTTTGGAAAAATAGGAAATTTCACCAAAGCTCTGTGTAAAACATTTTGATCATGGTCCTGTTCAAAGACATGTATTGTAATGTTATTTATTTAGGTGAAAATGTGATACTTTGAGGACCTTATTGGTAAATTTATAACATATACATGTATATAAAAAAAATTCAAATGACTTGATATGTATTTTAGATGAGGAACCTCCACTAATAAATTGCCCAGCAGATCGTGTTGTGTATATGGACACTGAAAATGAAGAAAAACAATATAATAAGCTGAGCATTGAAGATGTTGTACCTCTAAATCAGAGATACGAAATCAAGTCATTTTTTGTTACTGGTGAACCAGAGATTCTGAGGACTAACGATTTGTACAGAACATACACATTTACTATTCAAGTGGAAGACCAGGCTGGAAATCAAGCATCTTGCAGGCAGCAAATTTTTGTGCAGCGTAAGTGACCTCGATAATACAATTAACCCTTTACCTGCAGAATTGATATAATGGATTTGCCCAGCTTTGAATTAGGAATAGTCCATTTAAAATGTTAGTGATTTCAGTTTCTAATTTGAAAAAATTGAGCTACCAACAGTATAGAGACTAGCTATACTGCACGAAAATTCAAGCTGACTTACTTTTTTTTAGGTTTATCGCATTCAGTAGGTTAACGTACATTTATATCTTTAACTATTTTCCTGTACTGGAAATCACTTATAATTGTCAAGTTGTTAAGATTTCTTTGAAAAAACTTTTAACGTTTTGCCAAAATAGGCTGACAAATAACACAACTTTTGACAAACAACACAACTCTGGAAAAGGTAGTTTATCAACATTGAAAAATGGTTCCATAATTACTTGGGACAGTAGCTCTGTCAACAATTGATAATGTCACTACTAGTTCTAATTATTTAAAAACAAGTAGTTCTATCAGCCTTTGAAGCTGTTGTTGAATAGTTGTGAATTGCCAAGTGGTTAAGGTCATTGACTTTAAACTTATACCTGCTCCTGAATGCTGTGGGTTCAAATCCTGTAAGGGACTTTGGATTCTTTCTTGTGAGGGAGCTAAGTATATTAGCTAATAAAATGTAGGATTTTATTCAGGTGCGTGTTTCTGCCTGATATAATGTACAGAGGGGTGCCTAAGGTCTTCCTCTGCAAGTAAAGCAGGGAAGTTCTTTTATGACCTTTTACCTGAGCCCCCCTTCTCCCTCCAAAAAAAAATGATTATAAAAATCAAACAAAAATGATCTATTTTTGTGGTTAGAAAAGGATGCCATCATGTCACCTTAGTGCGGTAATGAGTTTATGTCTATTGAATTATTTAAGGAGTTTATTTGCTACTGCACTAAAGTGGTGATTTGTGTTTAAGTACATATAATTATATAAATATTTTGTCAGAAAATCCTGTCTGCATTTAAATAGATTAAGTATTAAAATTGTTTGTGTTTCAGCACGACCTTGTAGTGACATCTCTTACCCCACCCCGCTAAATGCTAAGAAGGAATGCACTTTCAGTGGAACTACAAGGACATGTGTATTAACATGTGATGATTTGTACACATTTGAAGATAGTAAGACAAAAACAGTACAATGTTCTAGCGGAAGTTGGGGCAACACTCCTTGGATACCAGCATGTGTGAGAGGTATTGATTTTGTTTCATGGTACAAATGTTCTTTGATTCTTCTTTCTCTATATGTTTTAATACCAGTATATCATTGTTTAAATACTGGTATATCATTGTTTAAATAGCGGTATATCATTGTTTTAACACTGGTATACCATTGTTTGAATACTGGTATATCATTGTTTTAACACTGGTATATCATTGTTTTAACACTGGTATACCATTGTTTTAATACTGGTATATCATTGTTTTAACACTGGTATATCATTGTTTAAATAGCGGTATATCATTGTTTTAACACTGGTATACCATTGTTTGAATACTGGTATACCATTGTTTTAACACTGGTATATCATTGTTTTAACACTGGTATACCATTGTTTTAATACTGGTATATCATTGTTTTAATACTGGTATATATCATTGTTTTAATACTGGTATATCATTGTTTTAACACTGGTATACCATTGTTTTAATACTGGTATATCATTGTTTTAACACTGTAATATCATTGTTTTAACACTGGTATATCATTGTTTTAACACTGGTATACCATTGTTTTAATACTGGTATATCATTGTTTAAATACCAGTATATCATTGTTTGAATACAAGTATATCATTGTTTAAATACCAGTATATCACTGTTTGGTTTGATACATGTATATCATCGTTTGAATACCAGTATACCATTGTTTTAATACTTTTATATCATTGATTGAATACCTGTATATCATTGTTTGAATACTGGTACATCATTTGTACCATTTCATTCTTGTTTTATACTGTAAAATTTCCTTTATTTTTGTATTGGATAAAGACTTAAAAGTGTTGCATGCATTTCTGTACATTTATCTGTTAAACATTTAGAGGGAGATTGTTTTTATTTGTTTGGGTCGTTAGACCAAACAAATAATGGTAGCAAAATTTCAGATAATGATGCTGTTAATTGCAAATGCCGAAAGTAGTCCGCCTTTTTTAAAGCGGTTACTTCACTTTATATGTACACTAACGCTGAAAAATTCAGGGGAGATCACTGCGTAAAGATTGTCAAATGACAGGCACATTAATTTTCAAGCAAAATAGTTCCCGAATGGTCGAATATTTCTAATATTGTTTTATTCTTTATAGATAAACATACTTATAGTAAGCTCCATGATTATTTACATCTGGTTAAGTGTCGAAATGATAAGAGTTTAATACCCTAATTATGCCCCCACTTGAAAGAAGAGGGGTTATATTGCTTTGCATTTGTCGGTCCGTCGGTCCGTAGACCAAATTGTTTCCGAGTGATAACTAAAGAACGCTTAGGCCTGAGAACTTCAAATTTGGTACGGTGATTGGTCATGACCAGTAGATTACCTCTATTGATTTTGGGGTCAAGGGGTCAAAGGTCAAGGTCATATTGACCTTGTAGGGAAAAACGGTTTCCGATCAATAACTAAAGAATGCTTAGGCCTAGGAACTTCAAACTTGGTATGGTGATTGGTCATGACCAGTAGATGACCCCCTATTGATTTTGGGGTCAAGGGGTCAAAGGTCAAGGTCACATTGACCTTGTAGGTAAAAACGGTTTCCGATCAATAGCTAAAGAACGCTTAGGCCTAGGAACTTCAAACTTGATAATATTATGATGATTGGTCATGACCAGCAGATGAACCCTATTGATTTTGGGGTCAAGGGGTCAAAGGTAAAGGTCACATTTACTTGAAGTTCAAAATGGTTTCCACTCTATACCTTAAGGATGCTTAGGCCTAGGAACTTCAAAGCAGTAGATGATTCCTATTTATTTTGGGGTCAAAGGTAAAAGTCACATTGACCTTGTAAGTAAAAACGGTTTCCAATAAATAACTATAGAAGGCTTAGGTCTAGGAACTTCAAACTTTATATGATGATTGGTCATGACCAGTAGATGACCCCTATTGATTTTGGGGTCAAGGGGTCAGTGTCAAAATGACCTTGTACTTTATGCATATTTTATTTGGTAAGATTTGTAATAACCTAAATTGCTGCACACAACCTATGGGGGTCACAATAATTATTATCTTGTGACTAGTCATGACCAGTAGATAACCCTTATTTACTTTTTGTTCACTGGGTCAGAAGTCATGCATAATAACCTGATCACATGACTAATTGGCTGCCAATAGGGGGCATACATAATTTACAAACATCTTGTTTAGAATATGGTTTTCTTTAGGCCGTTAACATATAACTTCTCCGTGGCCGAGGGGTTTGCACACTCGCTTACAAATCACGAGGTCTGGAGTTCAAATCCCAGTTAAGGCAACACATTTTTGTGCCCCCACATTAGTGGCGGGCATTTAGATTTACCCTTGTCAGTCCGTCCTTCCTTCCGTCCGTCCGTCCGTTCACTTTTGTGTCGCACGTAACTCAAAAAGTATTTGACCTAGAGTCATGAAACTTTACAGGAATGTTGATCAGCATGTGTAGTTGTTGCACGCTGGGTATTTTCGTCTGGATATTTTTAGTATTTTCAGAGTTATTGCCCTTGACTTAGTAAAAATTTTTGCAATTTTCAACTTGTGTCGCATGTAACTCAAAAAGTATTTGACCTAGAGTCATGAAACTTTACAGGAATGTTGATCAGCATGTGTAGTTTGTGCACCTGGGTATTTTCGTCTGGATATTTTTTAGTATTTTCAGAGTTATTGCCCTTGACTTATTAAAATTTTGCAATTTTCAACTTGTGTCGTATGTTACTTACAAAAAGTATTTGACCTAGAGTCATGAAACTTTACAGGAATGTTGATCAGCATGTGTAGTTGTGCACCTGGGTATTTTTGTGTGGATAATTTTAGTATTTTCAGAGTTATTGCCCTTGACTTAGTAAAATTTTGCAATTTTCAACTTGTGTCGCACGTAACTCAAAAAGTATTTGACCTAGAGTCATGTAACTTTACAGGAATATTGATCAGCTTGTGCAGTTGTGCACCAGGTATTTTCGTCTGGATTTATTTAGTTTTTTTAGAGTTATTGCCCTTCACTTAGAATTTTTTTGCAATTTTCAACTTGTGTCGCAAGTTATTCAAAAAGGATTTGACATATTCATTAAACCTTACGGGCAGGTTGCTCAGCATATTTAGATTTGCACCTGGGGTTTCGCTTGTGGATTTATCCAGTATTTGTAGAGTTATTTCCCTTGACTTAGTAAAAAGATTGACAGAACAGTGGCGCGGTGGGGGCACCCGTGTCCTATGGACACATTTCTAGTTTTTTCAATTGTTTAAGTCAAATAAATATTGAATTGAATATCAGTGTTGCAATTAGTCTTATAGCCAATTTACTACAGTTAAAACATTGGAAAGCATTGGTGGCACTAAACAAAAACCAATTGGTTTATAATCTTACAACCTTCACCTTTCTGACATTTTGAGACCCAAACAAATTAAGCGCCTTCTGTGCTTTGATTAGAGCTTTTATCATTTAAAAGATAATAGAACGTTTTTTTTTAATCACAATCAAATTGAATGTATTGCATTGACTGTATTGCAATTTATTTCAATACAAGTTAGCCCTATTTATTGCACCGCTTGAAAAGACATTGTGATAAATTATGATTGCTATATTCTTGTCATAATAAGTCTACAATTTTAAGCTTGTGACAGAATTGCCTATTTTACTTATATGTCATATTTTTTGTTCATTCACAGATGTAACACCACCGGTTGTTTCTTGTCCAACGTCATCCACAAATTCTAATCTAGATCGAAGAGGTGAAACTTTCGAATTTGATTTTGCGACCAATCTTGGAAATTCTGTTGGTGTAACTGATTTAAACACATATGGTAATGAGCAATTTATTCCGGAGAAATATACATTTACTGAGACAGATCTGTACAGACCAAAGGTGGTAATAGTTCAAGTGACAGATACAGCAGGAAACACTGGGTCCTGCAGTTTTGAATATACAGCTGTTCGTAAGTACCTTTCATATTTCTTCTTTGTAAAGTATCTGTGTGCATGTATGTGCATGGTTTGTGTGTGTATGTGCATTGGTTTGTGTGTGTATGTGCATTGGTTTGTGTGTATGTGCATTGGTTTGTGTGTATGTGCATTGGTTTGTGTGTGCATGTATGTGCATTGGTTTGTGTGTGTATGTGGATGGGTTTGGGTGTATGTGCATTGGTTTGTGTGTATGTGCATTGGTTTGTGTATGTGGTGTGCATTGGTGCATGTGTGCATGTGCATGGGTATTTGTGTATGTGCATGGGTTTGGGTGTACACACATGACTGTATGGGTTTGTTTGTGGGCATGTGCATGGGTATGTGTGTATGTGCATGGGTTTGGGTGTCCGCACATGTATGGGTTTGTTTGTGGGCATGTGCATGGGTTTGGGTTTTTTGTATGAGTGAAAAAGGGTTGAAGGGTTGTGTGTTAGAGGTTCTTTATGTTTGAGTAGCTGAAGCTGTTGAATTAAGTATACCTCTTGCACCTCAACATTGTGTGTTTGATTCCTGCCACAAACAATGGTTTACTGTGAGGGAGATTAGAAATTTTAAGGTGCATGGGAGCTAAAAGAAGCTGTTAACTTTATTTTCCATAAATGACATGAAGTTCAAGTTTTAGGGAAATAAGTTAAACTGTTTTCAAGTCATTTTTAATATAGAATTACATGTAGATGAAAATCTTTTTTGTCAGAGTGTTGAAACATGCAAACTTTGAATCTCAGATCCCTCACATTTTTTACTATTTTAAGTTTGAATACTTTTTTGAAATTTGCATCATTTTATGTGAAGAACCAGATAGCTTACATAAGGTTTGTTGTTCATCTTAAAAGAGCCTAAATTCACCAGAAATAATGCTTTTTTGCACTGAGGGGCCTCTGATGACTTCCTTTTCCATTAAAGCAAGAACTTTGCCATTTCACCTTTTAGGAGTCAGTGTGAGTTAAAGTCTGACAAAAATTAAATTTACTTTGGAATTTATCAAGGTTTTAGTATCGTTTACTGAATTAGAACAGTAAGGTTAACATGTCTTCATATGATTTTGAAACTGATGTAGAAACATGAAATATTATACATTGAAAAGTTTGACTTAATTTTTCTTTTTTATTTGAACAGCCCCTGTATGCTCTGAGTTTTTCTTTTTCATTTGAACAGGCCCTGAATGCTCTGAGTTTTTCTTTTTTATTTGAACAGCCCCTGTATGCTCTGAGTTTTTATTCCCCCACAAAGTGGGAGCATATAGCGTTGCACATGTCCGTCCGTCCGTCCGTCAGTCCGTCCGTCCGTCTATACGTCCCGAAATCTTGTGTGTAGATGGTAGTAAAGGAAGGAATTTTCGCTGCAACCAAATTTAACAGAATTATGGCCCTTTGTTGATTTTTTCAATATATACTATGTAGAAATTTTGTGAACGCAACTCCTCTTAAACCGGATGGCAGATTTTGCTTAAACTTTTAGGGATAAACAGCCTTAATGTGTAGATGGTAGTAAAGGAAGGAATTTTTGTTGCGACTGAATTTAACAGAATTATGGCCCTTTGTTGATTTTTTCACTATATACCATATAGGTATTTTGTGAACACAACTTTTAAACCGGATGGCAGATTTTAATAAAAAGTTCCACATAAAAATGTTACATACAGATATGCATGCTCTTGTTTTTGAGCACATCTGCACAGTGGGGGCATTCGTGTCCTTTGGACACAATTCTAGTTCTTTTTTTATTTGAACAGCCCCTAAATGCTCTGAGTTTTTATGCCCCCACAGAGTGGGAGCATATAGAGTTGCACTTGTCCGTCCGAGTGTCCGTCCCTCTGTCTGTCTGCACTACCGAATAGGGGGCCATCTAACTGTAAACAGAACAAAAGAGAACAATAGAGTTCATTCCGTAACAATAGAGTAAGGGGCCATTGGCCCTCTATTAAACAAAGGAAAATAACAAAAGAAATGGCCCCTTAACCCAAACCAAAATGCATGCCTGTGACAAGCTTGCGGCAAGCTTGTCGCAAGCTTGCTGCAAGCTTACAGCTTAAATACAAGGTTGCTGCATGCTTGCAACAAGCTTGCGATGACTTTTGAAATATACTGCAAGCTTGTTTAAAGCTTGCGATGACTTTTGAAATATATTGCAAGCTTGTTTAAAATTCATGCAAGCTTACAAACATTTGATGTAAGCTTGCAATGCCGCAAGCTTGCAATTAGTAGACACTTAGAAAATTTTTGTACAAATCTACACTTAGAAATTTCTTGTTAAAGTAATGGAAACACTTAGAAAATTTTTGTCAAAAGTGTACACATTAAAAAAAAATTCCAAAAATGATAGTATCAGTGATAATTAACTAGTTTAAACTAGATTACCACGCTAAAGTTTGTCTGCCAATGAAATCACCCTATTTTGTTAAAATTTTGGCAAAATATTTACCATACAATGCTGTAACTCAACTTTACATGTATGTATTAAATTTATATGTTAAATGAGCCGATTTAATGGACTCAACCTATTTATATAATGTTCTCGATTTGAATGGGCGAGGGCTAACTGTAAGTTGGTTATAGGTAATATACAGAGTTTTAAGAAACTAATTTTCTCGCTTCACTACCCGGGTGTAGATTTTCAAGGGTAGGCCTGGAAGAGAGGCTGAGAAACCCTGGAAAACTATGGAAAAAGCATGGAATTCCATGGACATACATGGAGAATGCGGTATTTTTTCCATGCTATATGGACGTTTTTGTCCAGCCATTTCCAGCATTGCTGGAATAGGCTGGAAATTGGCTGGACATTTGTGGTAAAAGACTGGAAAACCATGGACTTTACTTCCATGTAGCATGGAAAGTGGAACTTAGATTTTTTTGATGCTGGAAATGTAAACTTTCTCTAAGTATGCTGGAAAAAACTTGTAAAAATAACAACAAAAAATTTGTTATTTTATATATTCAGCTCAGTATTGTAAATTTACGAAGAAAATATAAAATCATCATTTATTTTAATGCAAGTAAATTATTTGAAATTTGACACTTTACACATTTCATGTAGTTGGAAAAGGGTATCTCAGAAAAAATGTCTATGCAAAAGAAGTAAATGAATTGATTGTTAAATACATATTATTATTTCAATAAATCTACATGAAGTTATGTACAATGAAATAATATCCATTTAATTACAGTTTAACTATAAATTAATTAAAGTCTGTGATTCAATCATTCAGACACTATAATCATCAAGATAGGGTTGCATTGCTTGCCATTTTTAAATTCTAAGAATTCATGTTTTTGGATAACAATAAATAAATAAATAAACAAAACAAAAACAGCGAATGAAATAATCTCATATATATTCTATATTAAATTAATCAATATATATTGCTTTTATTTAGGAAAATAAATACTACATCCACTGAGATTTTACGCTACACACATCAGAGCCTTGATAAAATTCATTGACCATCTGTGCATGACTAATTTACTCCCTGGTCATTCCGACAGATCAGGCTGTTCCATGTGATTTTTTTGGAGAGAGATTACATTATAAATTTCATATGCAGAATGTGTCTAGAAGGACATTGCAATCTTTTTGTACAAAAATTTGTAATGATTTTTAAAATCAATATATCTATTAGCTATTTGATATTTTCTTTTACGCTCAAAGAATGAAAGTTAAAATGATGAGTAAATTAACCCTGCTTTACATAATGATAGACCTGTCCAGTTTTACAGTAACTGTTGTAAAATTTGAATTCTAAGATATCTGGGTCAGCAAAGAGAGCAAATTACAGAGGATGTACTTGATATTTTAACAGTTTTGAAGATATTGTTTTGTTTAAGATTATAAAGTGTTTAAGTATTGGTATGATAACAATCAGAATCACCTGGGACAACAAAATCAGGTATTTATATAAACCTTAAGTTACATTAATGCAGAAACAGGTTATATATCAAACTGTTAACATTTGTTACTAACAAGAGATCAAGGTTGTTTTTATATTTTCAACTTCATGCATTTGTTTTTCTGATAATTCTTTTTAATCTATACATGTATAATCTGTAAAATATAAATTATTCAATGATTTTCTTTTTAATGATTGTTTATATTGTTTAAATGGCATGTTAGTAGATCTTTTTCATTTCCTGCAAATTAAATCAATTTGATTAAATAGGACTAAATGGTACAATCATTAGTTTTGTACAGCTGAACAGGGTCAATCATAATCATTTGTTATTTTACATGTATGTGTTGTGTTTTCAATGGAACAATCTAAATTACATTATACATAGTACATAATTTGCAGGCTGGGACATTAGTGCTGACTGTGAGAAATAGCGGCAGTGTTTAATAATGATGTGCAGTATTAATCCTGAAAAGGTATATTTTTAAATCTCAATACTTTTCTATTCCACATCTTTTCTTGAAAAAATACATACTCCTGGGTAATAAATATTGTCACAAATTTATTTAATTCTTATACAGAGAAATTCTTAGACATTTGTGCACATTGAAATAAGATATACTGCATTGCTTTAGTATTTTTTGAAAATGCATAAGCATAGTTAATAGTTAATACTGTTGAAACATTAGATTTGATGTTATTAAAAGATATGAAATATAACTGCATTTATACAATAAAACATAATTCATTACCGCATCTGTGTTTAATTAATTATGAATTTTATCTTTAAAGGTGAGCACAACCATAAGAAGTTCTATGAAACACAGGCAGAGGACTAAAAATGGACACCGATAAAAGAAATAGCTAGTAATTTAAATAATCAGAAACATTTAAAACAAATTTAAGATTGAATAGTTTGTCACTGACAGACTAAGAGCAAAAAAATTGCTTAAAACAAAGTGTTGGATTCTAAGAAAACAAGAACCTACCAAAACCTGCAGCTAGAAAAAAACGGTTTGTGTTATAGTGAATGTAGGGTGTTCTATTCTGTATATGGACTAAAGGATATGTATTAAATTTTGTGAAAGA